CTTCTACTGTACACAAACCACCACCCCTCTCCAGGGCAGGCGGAACACTAACAAAATCTCCTTGCCCTCCTCTGCACAGGATGAGGATATTTACAAAGTAAGAATCCTGGCTCCCTGCTGAGTCTCTCAGTTAAACTTCTAAACTACGCAAGTTGACACAATGCATCAACCATAACAGGTTGTTTGCCCATTTTTAGTGCAGTGGGTTCTTAAGCAAGATCCCTTTGCTTCCCCTCGTGGTACCCCGTCCTGATCTGTAAGAGTCCTTTCCAGCACACAAAAATTAGAGTCCACATCAAACATCTCACGTATGATTTTATTACATCTCTACTTAAAATCCTGGAGTGGTAACTCATGATTCTTGGAGTATGATCCCTAATGTGATCCTGGCTAAGAAGACTTTTAATGATTCTCATTTCTCTTCGACCATAGTCTCAAGCATTCCCCAAGGCTCACCGTGTGTGTGTGTATGTGTGTGTGTATTTGCATGAGTGTGGACAGGTTGACAGCTAAGACTTTTCTAGATCTTTACTTGTTAGACATGTAGATTGGATTTTGCCATTTAAAGTTATTTAGCAAGTATTAACAGCATCTTAACAATTTGTGAGATAAATATTGCTTTTGATTATTTCTTTTATAATTAGAAAAATGAGACCCAACGATAAAATGTATAAAGCCTCCATTTATTATATGACAAATTTGGAACCAAAATTGAGTGTTGTTTCACTCTTAGGAGCAAACAAGTGATATGATAAGTATTTCTTTACCAATTTCTATGTTAATGTCTGTAGATTTTACCATAATCAGTAAGGCATGTTCCTTGGCCTCTTAGATACTTACAGTGCAGAGGGAGAGATTTAACTTACTTTATGATGCAAAGTAGAATAAATTAGGGGCACAGTCTAGAGTGGCAGTGGAATATAAGAGAGTAAGAGATAATCTTAATACAGATATTGGAGATGAAGGGAATATGTGGCTTTTGTTTTGTAGTACTGGTGATTGAACACAGGACGCAGGGCCTTAGTGCTGAGCTGCTTTCTCCATCCTTTTTATTGATTTTTTTAGAGACAGGGTCTTGCTAAGTCACTAATTTGCCTATGTTGGGCTCAAGCTTGTGACCTTCCTGCCTCAGCCTCTCAGAGTGCTAGAATTAAAAGCATGCACCATCATGCTTGACTGGAAAATTTTTTATATTCATTTATGAGTTATTTTGAGCCACGTTATTCTAAATATACTGCAAGGTAAAATAAGTTGGTAAGGAGGAAACATCAAGAGAGCAAATTGAACTTGAGGTCAATAGATATGGGAAATGTAGGTTGAAAATATTGAAACAGTCAGATATAATAGGAAAAAGCATGTTTGCAAAGACTGCTTGTCCCACAAAGGGGTAACGCTTTGCCTTTAAATTTTTTAATAGCTTTATTATAAAGAGAAGATTGATTGTAATGTCCACAAGCTTCAAAAAGTTCCTACTGCTTATGAGAAATGTCAGTCTTTTAGAAATACAGAATTAGAAGAAAACATTCCTGGAAATTTATCATGAAAACTATAGAGACGATAGTCTCACATCCTTGAAAATACCTTTACAATTTATGAAAGACTTGTCAAAAGGAAGAGCATGACAAAGTTATTCATTTGCCAGGTGTGGTGGCAGAAACCTGTATAATTCCAGCACTGCGGGAGGCTGAGGTAGAAGGACCATGACTTCAAATCCAGCCTGTGCAGTGTAGCGACTTAATAAGACCCTGCCTCAAATTTAAAGCAATAAAATAAAATGAAATAAAGCAAAACCAAAAACTTTTAAAAGGCTGGGATTGTAGCTTAGTGCAAAGATCCTGAGTTCGCTCACCAGTATTTAATGATAATAATAATAATAGAACTGTGTTAGCCAAAGGTGATGGTTGAAGGCAATTCTGCAGAAGCAGGATACAGTGCAGATGAGTGACCAGTCGTCAGCTGATCTACCTCACTCGAGAATGGATTTTAGAAAAGGGTAGAAGAATATATGGATTCCATCAGGAAAGCAATGTTGAAATTCAGCCTGGGGAAACCAAGTCAAGCAGACTGAAGGAGCTCTGTAAGCAAAGCGTGAGAGTGATTCCCTGGCAGAAGACAACGAAGTGTTTCAGGGTGGTGAAAGCACGGCACTCAGCACAAACTCCTCATCAGAGCCACCTGGAAAGCTCCCGCCTAGCGATTCTGATTAAATCAGCCTGACCTGAGTCTAGAAATAATTTTTAAAAGCTCCCAAGGTGATCCTAAAGCGCAGCCAAGATTGGGAACACTGGGCAGACACCTTGCTTTTTGAGTGTGGATTGCGAAATGGCCCTGGCGGCCTGATCTGGCATTGTGGGTTATGAGCCGTGAAAGGTAAGTCGGGCCAGGTGTGGAAAGTCTTGAATATTGTTAGGCAATTAGCTGCCCAGGCCCCTCAGGGACAGGGATGGGTCATTGAGTCTGGCTCCACAGTCTAACAATTTTGTTAATTGATTTTACAAATTATAATATGCCCTTTGATTTGGATATAGTGCTTAAAATTTTTACAACTTGATTTTAAAATAACTATTTTCTTTTTTTCTCTTCTTATCTCTGTCTCTCTCTCTGTCTTTTTTTTTTTTTTTTTGGTATGACAAGCTGTCAGTTAAAAACACACATACTTTACCCTCTGGGATCACCTTCACAGTCGTGAACTACGTTACATACTATGTTAGTTTGTGGCCTAGTTATTTGTTTCCTGTTCCTCCTGCCATGCAAAGCTTCTTGTGACAGTTTTATGGGTATTTTAGTTGCAACGTGAGTGCACAGGTGGCAAAATTATATAATATTTCAGGTGAAACCATCACATGATTTTCTTGAGTTCTTTTAACCATATTTTGAAAAGAAATATGATGTCTAATAATAAATCACCCAGAGACAGCAGGAGCACTCTTGGCAATTTCAGTGAAATTTGTGTCTCTGCTTTTACTAATGAAAATGAATGGGGTAACATCCATGTTCCCACAAACCCTCTGAAACCTTTACTGCTTCTCAATAGACAGTAGTTGTAATTGAATAGAACACTGAGATTGATGTTAGGATTAAAGGTTATGAGCTCTGAAGACAGCTGAAAACTTAGACCCATAAAGTCTATGAAACAAAAGCAGGCTATTGAAATGGAATTTTGTGAGCCGTTCTTGTTTCTTGCTTTGCTTATTGTGTGTCCAAGGCTAATTATACTAATTAGATCAGAAGGCATGAATAGAAATTAAAGAAAAAGCCATTTAGAAAAAAAATAATAGAGCATCAGGAATTGCTTTGTCAGTTGATAACTAAGGGGAAGGAATCGAAGAGCAGTTTCATCTCTCAGCAAGCCCTGAAATAAATATTATGTGGAAATGGCATTCTTTCAAGGAGAGGTCATTTTCTGTGCTCATGCTGTTACATTATCTTGGTCATTGAATTTGAGGACTAAAAATGAAGTAAAGTAAGCTCATAAAGAAATAAATGTAGTATATAAATGACCAGGAGATCTGTAAAATAGAAGCAAAATCATCTCTGTGTTGCATATTTATCAAAAATTTCTACAAGATGTCAGCAATCCTACAAAAGTAAGATACTTATGTGCTGAAACATCTTCAAAAGCAATAATAAAACCATCTAGTGACATAACAAGTGCATGTGTTATTTTGAGAATTATTGTTACGGGCAAAGAAGGGCCTTTGTATCATTGTCATACAATGGCATTTTAGGCCAGCTGAATAGGGCAGTGAAAAGAATTGTTGAGAGTGAAATTTGCAGACTCAGATTCACTGCTTTCTTTTTTTGGAAAATTTATTTATATATTCAGCAAGTGTTTATTTCAAACCTTCCAGGTTCCAGCACTATTTTAGATAATTAGTTGGAGAGAATAGTGCACGAGAAGTTATGAGAACCCAGAGGACACTTTGTTCAGTTCTTGAATTAAAGATGTCTCTGGGAAAGAAGGAAAGTGAAAATTTAGGAGGTGATCAAATGGCTGAATAGGTATTAGTATGAAGTGATTTAAGCAAAGGGAGAAGCATATTTAGAAACTTAAATGCAAGAAAAATAATAACAATTTCAGGTAGAGTTTACATTTCAAGTGAAAGGATTGCATCAAAAGTAGAGTCCAGATAACAGGCAGAAATGTGCTTATGAAGGACTTTGATGCCACATTAAGGTATGTTGGCTTTGTCCTAATCTCAAAGGAGCTAAAATATGTTTTATTTTAGCTAGCAAAAGTATGTGACAAGTTTAGAGGTTACTTTTGAAAGATTACACGGATGACAGAGAATATAACAAGTGAGATTTATAAAGAATGTGCTTCTAAAGCTTAACATGTCTCCTAAAATTATTATGGAATATGCAATTATCTTCAAACATATAATCCATCAAAATGAAATATACTATGAAAATCTGACTTTGTTTTGTTAATTCTGTTTGAAGAAGCTAACTGATATAGGAGGCAAACAATAATATTTTACTCTAGAAATTACTAGTTAACCACAGTTTGGTCTGACAGAGGCAAATCCATACCTTTATGGATTAATATATAATATTGTTATTAATTTAGTATAATTTATTATTGATATTAATTATTCAACCGTAATAAAAATTTAACAAGTGGCAACTATATCAGACCCAGGTATTTACTCCCATTATGGAACTTACATTCTAGTGGAGGAACTTATTTCCAATAAGTAAAACATGCCAAATATGATAAAAAAGTAAATTATATGATAATAAGGTGTGGTAAGTATTGTAGAAGGAAAATAGAAGATGGTCAGAGCAACTGGGAGTTTAGGATGAGTTGTAATTTTAAATAGACTGGGCAGGGTAAGCTCCATTGTGGTGGTATTTGAATAAGAATATAAAGGAGAAATTTGCCAGAGAGATATGGATGGAAGAAAGGAAGCTTTCAGTCAGTGGTGGCAAACCGACGTGCTGTACTTGGTCACTGGTTAACACTGAAAGTGCTAAAAGGCTCACCATCACTGTTCTAGGTCATGAGCAGAACTAATGCTGAGTGTCAAAAGGAGAGTTGCTGGCCCTGTTTGAGAAGACAGAAAAACAGAGGAGTGGAAGAGATAATGTAGGACTGGGAGCCTGTGGGCCAGGGGAATAAAGACAGAAAGAGCCATGGAGACGGGAGCAATCATGGTGGAAGTAAATGAAATCAGAAGTGGAACTTGCCATCAACTGAAATGGGGAGGGAATGTTGCAGACTTGGGGGGAAGTAAGAAATGAAGTTTCAAACACCTTGTTTCTGAAATATGTTTTTAGGTATCTTAGTAGAAATGTCAAATAGATACTTGAATATTAAAAACTTTGGTAAAGATATAGTTACATATGTGCATTTTTGAGTTATTGACATGCAGATGATATTGAAAACTATACATACAAATCAACTATGACTTATACATAATAAAGTTAAAACCATTATTCTCCTTGGTGTACTAATCTTAGATACCTAGGCTACATAAAGTGCTTAATTTTTATGGATTCTTTTTAATACAAAATATTACACCTTGGCTTTGATTTTTCTTAGATATTTTTATCTACTCTTAATGTTTCTCATGTGGAAAGATATATTATTGGGAAAGGTCACCCTAATGAAAAGAGATTGTCTAGAACACAGGTTGTAGAACATTGAAGTTAATGAGATTCTAAGACATGTATATATCTTACCCACTGAATTTAATGATTTAAACTGGGCACAGTGGTGCTTACCTGCAATCCAGGCACTGTGATAGGCAAGGGGAAAGAGGATTGTGAATTGGAGCCCAGGCTGGGAAACTTAGCAACTTGGCAAGACTCTATCTCAAAATAAAGTTTTTTAAAAAGGGCTTCCTGTGTAGTGCAGTGGAAAGGACCACATTCAATCCCCAATACTGTCAAAAAATTATTTTGAACTTTGCACACTGTTTTAAGATATGGATCCAAACTTCTTATGTCTACTTAAAACAATAACAGATTGGATTTCGGATATTTTACTTGAAGTCACAACTCTTAAGATTATTCAGCAAACAGGTAGATGACAGTGGTACTGATTTAAGTAGAAACTGCTAGAAAATATCAACAGTATTTTTGTGGATATGTCTAACTCAGTTTAATATGCAATATTTCAGTAAAGTAGTTGGATTAGAGGAAGTCTGGATCTGTGAAGAGTGCTTCAGAGCTTTATAGGATTTATATGACTTGGTTGTGTTTTTAGTTGTATTTATTAGTCATGAATTAAGAAAGACTAAAACTTGCTGATTTAGTTTGAAACTCATTTTCATTTGTTCAGATTTACAAAAGAACTTGGTGGCGTGGACCAGCCAAAGGCCACACATATCAGAGAGTATATGCCACAGGAGATCATTTTCTTCACTTTATCTTTTAATAGTGTGGTGTTATTAGTACTTCTTTAAGGGCTGGAGATTAAGAAAGATTAAGAAGATAAATGAAAAGCTTATATTCTGTTGTTGTTCACAGCTCCATTATTTTCTGATTACAAAGTACTTGTGATAAGAAAGTCTTTCATTGCAGAAATAAAAAGAAAGAAAATCTTTTTGACTCTATGACCACTAATTAGCCAGTTGTCTTTGCTGAACGGAAACTCCCATCCTCCATGGATTTCTTATGTGAAGCCTGCTAGGCAGTTAAAGTCTGCAGGGCTTTGTGTGTTTTCTCATTTCAAGAAGAAATCCCTGTGTGACCGAACATCACACACACACACACACACACACACACACACACACACACACTCACAGAAGGAGCATTAAGCATGTAATCACATTTAATGCAAAAAGAACAATTATCCAATTTATAATACCATTATTAACTGGTATATAATCTCTCATGCTCTTAAAAGGCATGTCAAAATATTGAATATGGCTTCAAGAAATAGAATATTACTTTATGTTTTGCTGTGTATTTTTGGCATTTAACAATATACCCTGGACAAATTAATATATTCACCTTTTCTGTTTTCCCTAAAAATTCACATTTTGCTCCTAAAAATATTGATTTTATTCCAACTTAAAATTAGTCTCAGGATATTTTCAATTCCAATTCCACATCACTGGGGGTCTGAGTGAAGTAGGAACAGATCTTGCTTCATAGCACCAAACCTTGAGTTTTCTATCGCAGTCTCCTCCTCAAACATATAAGCACTTACCATCACAGCTCTGCAGAAGACAGCTCAAATCTTCTAAACCTGAGCATATCACAGTGTAGGACTAAAATATGAATCAGATAATCCTCTATGTCAGCTTCAGTGACCCATTTTGGATGCTTTTTTAATATGATAATTTGCATAATAGATATTTAGAAATCACTCCAGATAAGGTGGTCCTATAATTTATAATTTGGATATTTTTGAAGAGTAAAATGGAATTAATATTAATTATTAATGCTTAAATTGGGATGTTCTGAACAAATCAAGTATTGATTCACTCTACCTCTAGTGGATATTTTGAAATGACACCTTATTTTCTTCCAAATTTCTTTTCTACTTTTCTCTATATTATTTTGTAACCTACAAAAAGAATTTTGTTTTATCTTGTTACATGGCTCAAAATATGTTTATAAGTGAAATCACTAAGTCTGTCAAACAACTTACCTATTTAGTTTCTGCAGAACTGATCTACAGTTTAGTAGCTATACCTCATTACACACTTGAATAGCTATTTAATCTTGCACAAACACCCGTATGGTGAGATCTGAAACCTGGCACAAGAGATAAAGGCAACTAATTACTATCCACACTTAACATTTTATCTTCTTGCCATTTAAAAGCTTTTTATAGAAGTGCTGATAATCTGAGTGATTAAATGGCTAGATTCTCCATTCTTCTCATGTAATTTTATGGTCTGGACCCACCAAAACTTAGATTTTGAAAAGTTATAATTGCAATCTTACCTAAAACCTGAAGACAGTTTAACATATCTGCAAAAAATTAAGTTATATGAAAAGAAAAAGTATGAAGTGAAAGTATAGACTGAACACTTTATTTAAATATAGAATGGTGGCAAAGTAGATATACTAAAATAAAACATGAACTATTAGAAATGGCTGAGGATGTCAAAGTAAAGTCTCTTTATTCAGTTCCTCTGATAAAATTGTTACACTGAAGCATTTTCAAAATATCCTCGTCAATAATCATTTTGGACTGCTGTTTAATACATAACAGAGTTTAACATTAGAGCAGAAAATTATTAAATATGGATGGAGGATATATCACAATCCAGTTCTGGCATTGATTAGCTCTGTGACCTTGAAGTTACAAATATAATCATTTTCCTGAGTATACCTGCTTGCCTCTTTGCATGTGTTGTGAAGTCTGAAAAGAATTCATATCAGGTAGGAATGGAAGCTCATGGAGGAGGCTTTTATTGCTGACAACTGGGCCGTGAACTTGGACTTTCTCTGTCTCCTGCCCAGTGCTGGAGGTGTGGTAGAAGTCGAGAGGAGATAAGAATGTCAAGCTGAACAATTATGGGAGCCTCATAAGCATAAAAAGGCGTCTTGGATCTGGCTAACTGACGGCTCTGTGTGGAAGAAGGCCTGGCCTCATACGTGCGAGACGGGGGAGATCATCTGACTCCCACTGAAGAAGCCCGTTTGAAGAAGAGCGCAGATACCCTGTGGGGGATCCAGAAGGAGCTGCAGTTCTGGAGTCTTCAGTATCACCAGGTCACTGTCTAGGCGACTAGGTGACAGGAGGGTTTAGTTGGCGGTTGTGCCAGTTCTTTTTACCTGACTTGCAGTTGAAGCAGTACTGTTAAGATGGCCTGGGGAAAACCATCAGGTTCCCAAAGTTAGAAATAGAAATGGTCCACAAAACCCCAGGTCCTGTCCTGAGGGCAGATGGTGCTTCACTTGCAAAGTCCTAAACTGGGTAGTGTAACTTAGCCCACGTCCCTGAGACACCGTGGCCAGTGCCACACAGGCTGCAGTTGCCCTTCAAACCCCATGTGTGTCACTCTGCTGTACAGCTGCCCCAACCGAGCCTCGCCTGACCTTTCCCAGTTGGTCACTGCCGGGATCCAGTGCATAAATCCAATATTGCATGTCTTGTGCATAACTGTTTTAAAGGATTTTATTTTGTGTATTATATATATATCAGTAGTGTTCGTTGCCATAAATGTAAAAAGGAAAGATCTACCTGTGAACAATGCAACCAAGTGTCATACCAAGTGCAACACCAAACAAACCTTAAACAGTGAAAAAAAAAAAAAAAAAAGAGATCATCCAGGGATAGTCGGCCTTGCAGCTTCTCCAGGGTGACAAAGAGCAGCAGCCTCTGTCAGAGCTGGGCTGTGGCCTTAGAACTGTGCTGCGAACCAGCTGGTGCGGGAAGTCAGGACACGGGGATGGTGTGGAACGCCTGGCTGCCACCTGACTTCCTCTGTGCCCTCTCTAACATCCCACCCGTTCATACCCAGAGGCTACAGGATGTGAGGAAGACCGAAACCTGAGCCACGTAACGCATTGCTCTCATTTGATGACACATACTGCTGTGTGTTAGTGGTAAAAAAGTATGAGTTTTACTGAAAAGATAAGGAGGGCTTACAAATATATGGGGAGGATATTAAAAATACTATTTTTCAAGTTGTAGAAAGTATTAGTAATATTTAATTTTTTTTTTTTTTTTGTACTGGGAATCAAACTCACAACCCTGTGCTTGCAAGGCAGGCACTTATGCCACTGAGCTAAATCCCTAGCCCTTAATTTTCTTGAAAACAGATGGCATATATATATAAAATCTATGAGTACATACATTATTGTGTAAGCTTATTAAAAGACAGCATATTTTACCTGCTAATCTTTGAAATTTCAGGGACAAATTTATATTTTTCTTTACAAAATTCTATATCAGTTGCCTTTGTTGAATTAAGTACTTATAATTTTAGAGTTGAAAATAAAAGCATAACATTTAAAAATTTTATTTTTATAGCAGCTTTTTTGAGATATGATAATATACCCCATGTGTTTAAATGCAATTCAGTGATTTTTCGTATGTTCAGATCTATGCAGCCACCACCAGTATTGATTTTAGCAAATTTTTATCACCCCCCAAAAGTTATGTGGTATTCTTTGTCCATCACTTCCCTATTCTTCTGTTCCTCCTAGCTCAAGGAAACTACCCATCTATTTTCTGTGTGTAGATTTAGCTATTTTGGACATTTAACATAGGCAGAATTATACAATACATGGTCATTTGTAACAGGATTCTTACATTTTCAAGATTCTTCTATGACATGGAATCTAATGCTACTTCATTCTTTTTGATAGGCAAACAATATTCTGTTGTATGGATGTACATTTATTTGATCAT